TCTCTCTCTCTCTCTCTCTCTCTCTTGCTCTTTCCACTTTTCAGCCCTACGTCTCTCTGAGTGTACACATTGTGCAGTGTGTCTTTTCCTCATGGCCTTGGTTCTCATGAATGTGTGTTTTCCTGCGGGGCCGCGTTTCGTTCAGACTGGTGGTTGGTTTCGAGGGAGTTTAGTCAGCAAGGCTTTTCTGCATGTAGCCGGAACATCATGACCTCCTGAGGCTGAGCTTCCACTATTTCACGCAGCCGTCACCAAATCCAAATGCCTGGCTCTTCCACGCCTTGCCAGAAAAGGCACCTACCTCAGTTTGCAGTTGGCGTTCTGAGTGCTGTAACTTGGGCATCCGGTTTCGTTTCTGCGTACTCCAATCACAGAATTCTCTTCTGCAGCAAGCTCATTCTGAGCAATGATCGCAGTGCCACCCCCGCCCTCACACAAATTCTCTACCCTCTACCAACGTTACCAGCCTTCAGGTGCACGTCGCCTCGTGCGTAGTGAATCACCTCGACACTTGTTGGCATTGTAAGAGGGTAGGACAACAGAAGAGTAAAGTCACACGGGTGCTCCGGGAACACGGAATCTGTGAAGATTTCTGAGGATTAAGAGTCATTGTGGAATCCTCCAGTAGAACTGATGCCAAGGAAGCATGTGGGAACACCGGAGCCCTGGGTTGCTTCTGCTTCGACCCTCTTCAACAGGGTCTATCATCAGCAATTATGTATTTCGACTCATCAGCACGACAAGGATCATGATGGCATCTAGGTCCTGAGCATTTCGGGAAAAGGATTAGATAGGCCTTGGCTGAGGTTGAGTGCATCCTGCCGTTTGGCCTGTTACTCCCGCTGTCTTGGCTTCGGCACAGCTGTGCAGCACTACGGCCGCAGACAAGGCAGGTAGATGACCGTCAGGAGGGCTTTTTCCAAGGCTAGGGTGCATGGTTCACATTCCTTAGCAGTTGTTCAGATCTCATTCTAATCCATTGAAATCCGTGTTTAGAACTTCTTCTCAATTAAGGTAAGGTCCAGGTCTACACGGAATTGCAGGCCTATCCGAATCTTCACGCTACCTCTGCATGTCATGATTGCTCAGGTGGTCATCATGAGCTTCATGGTTGCTTCTTGGCCCGATTTTCTGCTGAACGCAGCCCTTGGCTTTGTTTCTTATACCTTTGCTCTCATGGCGCTGAGGTATTGCTTGTGTCCGGGAATTATGCTTACCTGCAGTGGCACAGCTGCAGCTATGCATGGGTACTGCCACGTGCTATCATCAGGTTGGCATGCTTGCAAAGCACAGAACGACACATACGGTGACCAAGATCGTAATTTGTACTGGCACTGGGTGCGTATTTTCGTTGTGACATCAAGGACTTTCGTTGTTACAACAAGTACTGGTGCTGTGCTATACAGGTTGCTACAGGATTCTATGGTTCTCAGCATCAACGATGGCCACTGCTGCCGCTACTACTATCGCCACCAGCTGCGACCGCCCCATCACCACCGTCGCCGCCACCACTGCCACCAACAACACCGATAAAAGTTCTTTCAGTCATTGTGGTCACGAACGTGTCTGTCCTGGCTGCCCAAACCGGTTTCACATGTATGAGGTACTTGATGCTAGCGCAGTGCTTGTGTTGCTTCGACGACAAGCTCTTGTTGAAATTGCTGCCGTCGTCTGCCCAAATTGGTTCGCCTCTGAAGGCAACCTGGGGTTCCAGGCAAGTGTGGAGTGGGATGGGATTGGCCTTCGGACGATCTGTCATATTCCCCAAAACGGCGGCAGAGTGCCTGGAGGTTTTGGAATCTCTTCATTACCCTACCGCTGCTCTGCTTGGTCCTTCGCTCCTCACTGGCGCCTTTGGAGGAGGTCCGACCCCGCAATTTCCGGCGCTGGGCTGATCTTGCGCATGCATTGTGAGGCTATTGCCGGCAGACGCGCCAGTGATGTCAGCTACAACCGATGGCATGTGGCCGGCTGCCATGCAGTCTTCGAATCCGTTTAGTCGAGTCCCGTACAAATGTCCTCATGGCTGCTGCAAGGTCAATGGGTATGCTGCTTTCTCCCACATGACGAAGCAGCGGCCAGAGGTCGTCATTGAGGGTGCTGCTTCTTTGAAGCCACAGGAGCAGCAATCGTACAGCGCCCTGAGCATGCATGGCTTCTCGCAAGGATCCCTAACTACATTCTCTTAAGAGAGTTGCGTCGCAATTCCTTGTTTCAGCATTTATTTCCCCACCCTCGCTGTGGGGTTGTTAGATTTTAAAGTAGATGTTGTCCTCGCCTGACTGGAAGCTGACTTTCGTGACAAATCACCAAGTATCCCTGCAGTGCTCAACCACCAAGTATCCCTGCAGCGCCCAACCGCAGAATATCCCTGTAGTGCCTAACCACCAAGTACCCCTGCAGTACCCAACCACAAAGAATCCCTGCAGTGCCCAACCTATCCCTGTAGTGCCTAACCACCAAGTATCCCTGCAGTACCCAACCACAAAGTATCCCTGCAGTGCCCAACCGCAGAATATCCCTGTAGTGCCTAACCACCAAGTATCCCTGCAGTACCCAACCACCAAGTATCCCTGCAGTACCCAACCACTAAGT